AAACCATCATCTTTAATTTAGTAATTCGAATTAAAGTTACTATCATCATCACATTCAAAATATAAGAATAAAACTCTCAAATAAGTTCAATTAAACTTACATCTACATTTAAATTCAATGATTAATTGGAACTAATATTAATAAAAACACATAATTTAACACTTATTTATAATTTAAATTGCTAAATTAATGGTTGTTATTTTATTTTAGTCATCCAGTTTTAGTCTTCCAGTAATGCACACTAGACATTTCTTACTTTTAGACATTTTAATTTTTTGTTTTGTTTGTTTAAAGAAAGAATACAGTACATACATAATTGCTATATAATTTATTTAAACTTCATTATGAAACTAGCTCATCAAGAATTAATTCATAACAATCATACAACACGAATGCCAGATCTCACAATATCAACCCAATTTGTAACAGTTCAAAGATTTCAATAATAATGACCTGAGCAATTCATGTAGCAGACATACAGACTGGTAAAAATACATTTGAAAACATTTCTCATTGCATAAACATCTATTCTATTAAACATATTTAAAGTAATTTACATATTTTATATTTATATTTGCTCAAAATTAATTTTAATTATAGTTAATGAAACTAACTAATAATTTCATTTGTATTAATTTTGAATTAAATTGAATAAATGAAAATTATTTCATACTACTACTTCAGTATTAAGTACTTGCAACTAAATTTGAGAATTTATTTCAGATTTATTGACATTTTAAAGTAATATTCAGTACACTAATCCCAAGTTGTCTTATTGTATATTTAAGTGGATGAGAGCAAGAATTTAATTAAGTTTTAATATAAATATTATGATTGTTATCTGTTATTTAAATGATGTAAAACTACTTAAAATATAGTCATCATTAAAAATTTTGTTTCTTCTATTGTCTGATCAGAGTGAGAAGAAAACAAAACAGTGTTAAACAAGAGGAAGAAAAGGACAGATCAAACCTTGTATACGGACACTGACACAATAGATTATTACATCCTTTACTACTACTTCTCTGGATATGTTGAGTTATTATTTAGTTTTTGTTGAGGTATTTTAAAAAGTATATAGATTTTGAAACTATTTAAATTTTTCAAGGATTATTTAATATAAGTTTTTTAATCTTTTAATTTTGTTTATATTCTTAAATTGTATTAAATTATTATTCATTGTTTATTGTAAATGAAATGTTATACAAGGAAAATTATCTATTTATAAGTATATGTAAAACATACACACAGTATATATAAATAAACTATCTTTTTCTAGTCATTCTTAATGTAATAAAAATGTCATTATCTAATATAATAAAGCACAGTAGTTATTTAGCTATATCAAGTAAAAATACCTGATAGACAAGTTTCTGACTATTTGCATGTATTTACAACTATCACTTCTGTATAAACTGAAATTTAATATGAAAGTTTCTATTACAGATATTAAACTGTGAAAATTTAATTTTTCTAAATCAACTATCACAATGATTTCAGTCAATCACCAATACTATAATTAAAATATTAAAAATAAAAAATTTTCCAACACATGTATAACTTTAAGATATTATCTACTCAAATAATTTAATACATAACATATTTGTTTATTATATTAGTTTATATGCTTTATTACTTTTAAGAATGTAGCCTACTGTGAATTTATTTAGAGGAAAAAATTCTATAATGTCGAGTTACTCAATTTTACAAATTGTGAATAAATTTAATAAATTTTTCTTAAATCTAGTTTTAAATATATTTACATTTCAGGGAAACATTATTTTTGATTTGACTCCCTCATCTAAGCATTCCATTATTAAACAATTTTAGAATGGAAAATAAATTATTGCTAGCCATAAATAATTTTGTATTAAAAAGTTTGATGATTTCATTTAACTCTGTTATGCTAATTATATTTAACTTGATAATTATAGTTCAAGTGAAAATTTCCAAAATATTAAATGAAGAATGCTACCTTGGAAAGGTTTTTAACTTGATAATATAAATAATAATAAAATTATGAATCATAAGTAAATGTTGGATTGTTCAAGTATTTAAAATGACTCCAGGGTACAAAAATTTCATTTCTATCATTCCTGTGAGATTGAAATTCTATGCAGAGTAATTTTAGCATTACAGTTTTTTTCAAGACACTCTAATTGCTTCAAAGTTTTTCGGAATAAATTATAAGTATCAAATTCCAAATGTCTTCTCAAAATAAAAATTTCCTGGTTGATGTTACATACATAAGTGGTTCACAAAGTATGGTTAGTGAACCATATGTGGTTCATATGCATGTGTCAGGTGGTCTTTAATGCTGACCTAGTCATTTTTCCAAAATGCAATTCTATGCTGTTTAGTCAGAGAAAAGTATGCATTTTCAATATTACATATCGCTCTCTCACATTAGATTATCAGATAAATGGTAGACAAAATATAATTATTTAAGGCAATATTTACAGGATAAGAAGTGGACAGTGGCAAAGGTAGTCTGCAGTTCATCTGTAATTCAGTTTAAATAGTCCACAAATCAATAGCTTTGAGAATTTCTGACCTACATAGAACTTAAAAATACAAATGTAATTTATTGGCTTCTATCTATCCAAATAATTTAGCAAATATATTCAACATTTATTAAATGCTTTAATTATCTAAGTATTTTCAAGCCGTAGAGCTCATCTTTAAGAAGCTCTTTATCGTAAAAGGTTACATGGAAACTTATAAGAGTTATATTTTTGCTGATAAAAATGTTTGAGAAAATATCTGTTATACTTAATGCTTCTTTAATTAATTACTATTACATTTAATATATTTTTTTATTACAATTAATTGCATTATAATGAGAAAGGATAAAAGGATGAGAAATGTTTTTGTATTTAATTTGAATACAATATTTTTGATTTTGAAAGTTACTTTTATTCAAAGACATATTAATACACTATATTTCAATATTAAAAGTTTAAATCCAATGTTGATCAACAGTTCTTTCTGTGCATCAAAGGTATGTCATAATACAAGTTATAAGTTACATACTGTACTAAACTGGAACTCATATACATAAAAACTCGATAACACTTTGTCATAACACTAATTAAAAATAAGTACGTGTACTGTATTAGTATAAAATATTAATAAAAACTGTATTAATTAACAGAGTCAACAATATTACTTCTTATAATAATATACAGGAACAACAACAAAGACTGATTTTGAATTTAACACATCTATCTAACTTAAATTTTTCAGAAATAATCAAATATCCTTTAACATAATATTCTGTGGAACAGTTTTTATACCTGGTAATTTGAAATAAGATTCCATACATATTAAATTTAAACAAATGCAGTAGAAGAAATTTAAAGTGAAAATGAACATTTAAAATATAACAAATAATAAACTGAAAGTTTGAAAATTTTGAGAAACAAATACACCAAATTTGAAAATTTTGAGAAATAAATACACCAAGACACTTAATGTTGTTTTTATTACATGTTTAATTATGAAAAATACCCTTGTAGTAATTCAACAACAAAAATTAATTTTCCAGTAATATTATGTAAAAACTCAAATATGCCTACTTATTGTATATTGAAACTTATTACAGTATTAGGAAGCTCTTGACTGTTATTAGCTAAATTAGTACTTAGCAATATCACTCTAAATGTCATAATCAATTACAATATATAACTAGAGACTTAAAATACATCAGCTATTCCTTAATTTGTATTAATTAGTGTGTTTCTTTACATAGTGTTTCTAATAATGCCTTTTTGCTACATAATTCAACAGACCTACTGTTTATTTGGATGGAACTGAGAATCATACTTAAATTTTGATTTTAAATCTAGTTATGTCACATAGTTTTAATTTAAGATTGAAAAAATTTCAGTCAATACATACATATTTTTGGTTTTTTGATCTAAACTCTTTCACAGATGAATCAAAGAACTAAAAGATTTTCTATCATTTGCCAATAACTATAAAATTAATCATTCTTTTTAATAAAGATAATTTAAAGTAAATAACACACAATATTGTTAATACTTTGCATAAATGAATCAATCTATGCACAAACCTCACTTCTAAAACATTGACTTTTCAGGAAGATCAAAAAAACCTACTATAAATTATTCAATAAACTCAACTAAACTTTAATGCCTTCATCAAACAGTCACACATTATTCAGATAACTATGGATATATTGTAACAATATGGAGAAAAGAACTTTATTATGTTATTTGGGAAAAAATCCATCATTTCAGACACAAGCTATTTTACATATGGTAGATAATCATTTTCATTTCATTTATTCAGCTTTATCCCAATCAAACCGATACTTATTAAAACACTACACCCAAACACCTGTTAATAGTAATAATAATAATGCCGAAATAAATGTACATATAATGTTTTGTTATTACTTATAATTTAAGTTTGTTTGCATAACAAGTTCTGTTAAAAAGAATTACACAAGCATTTTCCTTCCTAAATACAACAAATAATTGTGAAATTCTTAAAATTTCCCATTATAAAAGAGGACTTTTATATGTTCATAGTGTATTAAACACCAAAGTTTAACAAAATAAACACTAGGTGGAGAATATTTTGTATTATTATTATTATTTAAAATATTTTTCAACAGATTATTGTGTATATATAAATATATTTGTCAAGTTAAAAAAGAATTTTTAAATATAATAATAAAAGGATATATCAGTGATATTAAATACATTTTCTGAAGGTTGTTCATTAACTGACACATATACTAAAATAAACTCATATGTAAATACATCAATTACAACACTACTGAATGTTAACGTGTAAAACACATAACAGAACATATAAAATTTTATAAATCAATAATTTCTACCTGAAAAATAACTAAATATTTTGCCATATATTCTAGGCTTATGCCTGAATGTTAACTTATGTAAAAAATAATCATCGACACATATCGAAATATTCTTCATTTGTGTATTATTAAAATAGAACATAATTACCTATAGCTTAACCATAAATCGCCGGAAGCAGAATAAAACGTCTCATCTTCCGATTAGCGATGTAATAAGTATCGAAACTATCATTCGTTTTCATCTGGACCGTCAGCCATGACGGCTTCTGACGTCATTTTGAAAATGATAATTTTTTTTAAATCGGAAAGTTAATAAAAATAAATAATTACGTTCATTAATATATTTTTTAATAAATAAAATTCTAATCGTAATATTAATTTACTACTTTTAAGAAATTATAAAATTATTTACGTCGATAAATATATATATATTCAGACGATTAAATTTTCGTTCTCGTTTAGTTTTCGTACATGCGCAATAGCATCCGGTTTTGCCGGTGTTTTGTACATCGTCTGGTTTGAGAAGAATTTTGGTTTTTTTTTTTTAATTATACAATTTTATTAAGATAATAACACGTATAAAATGACAGATAAGGATTCGGGTGAGTTTCGTCCGTAACGGTGATGTATTATATAATTTATTGCGTTTATTTAAGTTGTGTAATGACTTTTAGTGCTGCCATTTTAAGCCTAACTTTGGATTTCCCGCCTTTAACCGATTCTGTGTTAAATATGTCGAGTGGATTTTTCGTCCGACGTTTTTAAAAATTATTTCGTAAATATTAATAAATCCTTTCACATTTCCGTATATAATTACAAATTTGTACGGTAGGCAACGTGCTTATTTCGTATTTGATTATTTGAATTGTTTTGATCGTCACGTTTAGTTTTCGTTTTGAAATTGATGCATTTATCGTAATTCCCGGGAAATTAACTTTCTTTATTAATGAGACGTTATATTAATAAATCGATTTACGATATTGTCAAAACAGAATTTAATATATTTCTATACAAGTCACATTAATGAATGAAATTATCTCGTACAATCCTGAACAATATAAGAGGTGGAGTGTTTCTACATTTATGTTACACAATCATGCCCTCCACTTCCAATAACTGAGGATGAGTCCTATATATTGTTGCCATGCATTTTAGTCAAGACAGTTATAAACTGTTCGGTATAAATTAAATGGCAATATATTTGACTACTCAAAAGTGGTTATGCTTAATAAATGGAGCAAATGAAACATCTTTGGCATGATTTTATATGAAAGCATGCATTTTCGACCGTGTTAAGCAGACGTTGTTTGGCTACTGACGATGCCTGTTTAACGCTGTCAAAAATGGTGCTGGAGATTGGGTTTTGTTTGTTTGTTTATTAAATGACTTAACTTGACAACACACTGGAATGAATATGAAAAGTGTGACTTGCAATAACTGATTAACATTTCAGTGACTAATGTTAACTGCTAGCCTGTTTTGAATTAAAAAGAAGCCTGAAGAAGAGCCCAGAAGGGGTTACGAAAACATTTGCAAATTTTAATCGTAATAACACTGGTTAATTGGTTGTTGTGAGTCATCCTTTTTATTAAATGACAATGATTTAAGAGTTTTTTTTTTCTATGTTTGTTTTCAAGATTTAAGATAAAGTTGTCATCCAGCAACAAATCAGCACATTGCTTTAAATTCGAATTGGAGAATAATAAAGCCCATGCAATATTTATTCTACAGTTTGAATTTAATCCATGTTGGTTAATGTAGAATGCTTTTAAAAATCATATCCATAGAACGTTTCTATATCTTTTATATGATTGATAAATGGAATGGCTTGTAACTTGAAGAGGACTGTTGAGACAGAACATTTGTATTTCTAAATAAAGTTGCTGGAATAAGTACGAAAGGTGGTGTTGTGCGAGCGTATATATTAAATAGTTACAGTTCGGTACAAAGCTTATGGTTTATCTTTAGTTTTGCAATATTTTATTAAGATTTCAAAACAAAATATACTCTAAACAATATAGAATTGTTGATAAATAAAATAACATTGGCATTTAACAGTAAGGATCCTTACTGTAGAATATAAATAAGATATTAAAATTAAACAAATGATATTTTCCTAGCAAGATAGTACAAGATTTTTATTTTATTATTTTAATTATCTGTTATTAAAGCTAAAAATAGTTTTTTTTATCGAAATGAAATTAGTAATTTTGTTCTTGATTTTTCTGACATTCAAGTTTCTATCAACTATTGGTATTTTTGAATGATATATAGTGTGTGTCTTTTTAATTAAACCAAGATATTGCCAAACTTTTTATAGGATTTGCTAAAAAGCTAAGTTTTGTTTAAATTATCAACTTTGTAAACTATTTTCAGTCACTGAATCTTGCTTTACTTATACATCCATTGAAGAGTGTTCTGTATGTTTTTAATTTTGCTTATTTAGCTTTTTACTAGCGTATTTATATCACCTCAGCATGTTCAACATTCACATTTTCCAGTGACTTATGAATAACAAAGTTGATAAATTCTCTTTATTTTAATTGGGCGAGAGAAAAAAATCTGGACTGTTTTTAAAGCAATATTTTATTGAAAAATTGAAGTGACTATTAAATATTACATATCATTTTAAATAGTGACTGTGTTCATTAATTCTACATTATTTACAATAGTATAGAATTAATGAACACAACCATATGGCCCATTGTCTGTGACTTGCTGTTTGTTTTGATAGACTTGCAACTCTTTTGGATAGCCTTTATGGCAAATTTTTAAAAGTGAAAGTCTGATTATTCTGTTTTGAGGAACTCCATGGTTGAGTTTGTGTAATGAGACAAAGCGTTGTAAGCCAAAAAATGAAATTGTTGTTTTGATGATTCTTGCTAACCTTTCAGCTACTTCTGTTTGACTAACTGCGTCTTTGTTGTTAAATATTTGTCACAATGCTCTTCAGTTTTTAGCATTCATCACAACCATCTTTCTTCCACTTTCTGGTCACCTTTTTCACATTCCAGATATTTCATACTACTACAAAAACTTTGTGCTATAACTGAGCATGTGTAATGATATAATTTAAAAATCTTTGAACCAAAAATTATCTTTTTGAATTCAAAATTTATGATGCTTTAAACTAGTGTTTCTCAACCTCTAACGAATCGTCACCCCTTCAATAAAACCGTTACGTAGTATCGCCCCCTTTATTTCAAAATTCCAATGCCCATGGCCAAGGCTAATGTCAAATTTGTACTGCTTTGAATAGACAAGTGACTAGTATAATGTTATTTGTTTAATTATTGTACAATATAATGAATGAAATATCTAATTATTCTTAATATAATGTTTTACTATATCGTCCAGAAAATTGTTTTTTGCCCCCCAAAATATAAATTGTTACTAATTGCCCCCTCAACATGGAAAAATTCTGCTTCCTCAACATGCTGCTGCTCTTCTAATGTTCACAAATTTTGTTTTGTACACCTCACTTTGTCTCTAGAAGATGCTGTCAAAGAAGATTTGACCGGAGATTTTGGATAAGAGACATTTTCTTAGATCGAGAGAACTGGTGTGCAAAATACACTTATTCCTCAGTTAAGATCTTTCGACAAGTAAGATTAGTTTTTGTCTTTTGGATTAAAAATTATATATGATTGCTTGGTGCAAACCATTACTCTCAAAAGTCAAATGACATTAGAAAATATTTAACAGAATATTTTGCAAATGATGGAGCACTGCCCTGGCAGAATACTGCCATAAATTAAATTTTTACTGTTATAAAATGTATATTAATTTTAAATAAAATTTTTAATGATATAATGTGCAAAAATGAGTTAGGTTTTTGAATATTGTATATTTTGATTTTCATATAAGATATTTATTTGCTATATAGAAATTTTAAGATTATATGTCTGAATAATTTTGCATTTTATAACTGCAAATAGGATGTTATCTGTAATAATAATAATTATATATAGATGCCATTAATTACTTTATAAAATTTGATCAATGACATTTATTGAGTTAAAAATGTTCATATAACTTGATGCGGTCATAGCTGTTAACTAAATTTATTGTTTTTGTTGCTTTCTGAGCTTACACCAGTTTCTTTTCTCTTGGATCATATATTTAATGCTATTGTAGTTTTGCAACTGAATCAAATTGCAAAAATTGAATATTTTTTGGATTTTACATTTTGATTGTTTTATATCATCTAAAGCATATACTTAATCTTAGGTGAATTTTTATAATCTTAAGAATTATTGTGGCATGAATTATGAGATAGGTTAAATTATTGATTCTGTACTTTTTATACTCAATCATCATAGATTCTTTTAAAAATTTATTATCTATTACATCAAGATTATATAGCTAATATTTACAATCATTAAGTAGATGATTTAAAAATCAGATTAAAATAATTTCACATTTATAGAAAGATTACATGGCTAAATGATATGATATCATTGACTGTATACAAGCTACATATTTTATCAACTGTCATTCTACAGGTATACCTCGACTTACGTCGTTTCGAGTTACGTCGTTCCCGATTATACGTCGTTTGTCAAAAAAGTCTCTGGAAAAATAAAAATCAAGTTTAAGTCATTTTATTCGACTTTACATCTGTCAGCCACAAATATTGAAGTCGTAATATTACTAGAAAAATGTTTAAAGCACATAGAATCATATTAAAATATATACAAGTATGTACTGTATTTACAGTACATGCATTCGTAAATTTAATTACTCTTTTCTGTACTATATTAAAAACTAAAATTTATTTGTTTGTAAGCTTAAAATAGATCCTCATTAACCATACATTATTAGTAATGCATTAATAACTAAAATACAGAACCGGAATTGGCAATTTATGGTTTAGCCTAGTAACAAGTTGATTTGGAGACAAGTAAATTCGACTTACGTCGTTTTTCGACTTAAGTCGTTTTCCTGGAACCAATTACCGACGTAAGGCAAGGTATGCCTGTATTGAAAAACATACAACAACAAAATGAATTTTTTATTTAAACTATGTTAAAAGTTTCATTTCTTCAAAAACAAGATTTTCAATTTTATTCATTACTGAAAGCATTTTTTTTTCTATCAGATTTTCTTACCTTACACCAATATTATTGATGAAATAAAATTCTTCATCGTGGCTACTTTCACTCTCTTCTATATATTTTTTTTATAACACTAGATGTTTGTTTTATGATCTCTGCAAGATCATCGTCAGCATTTCTTTTTTTTTCCTAAATTATGAAATAAAAACAAACAT